TGCTGAATTTGAGGCCCTCACCAGCGATCTCTGATTCGCTTTTGGCTCCTTAAGCGTGCGAGTCTCTCAAGTTGACTCGTGCAGCTGGGGCGACCTGACTCGTTCCAAACTTCTTCCCTCTCGAAGTCTTTTGCCTCTCCGAGAATTCTGTTGTTTTAGGCGTTGCTCATCTTTAGGATCATTTTCTCTGTCCCCTTCCTCTCTTGAAAATCTGCTCCATTCACTCACTCAATAGAGAAGTTAAATTGCGGTGTCAGTCTGTTGATTATAGAAGAACATAATTTCAGTAGGAAGGTTTACGTGTTTGGCTAGTCAGGTCTTCATTGCATTTACCTCATTCTTTATGATATGCTGGTTCAAAGGCGGGGGAATCAATCATTAGCTTTGGATGCTGACCGGATATATCTCCACTTTGGATTTTTCTGAGCAGCAATCATGAACAATCAACTTCTCGAAATCGAACCCAGGAACTGAATTTTTGTGTGAGTATATGATTATAAACTGTCCATGGTCATTCTTCTGGATTTGTTCGTTTTTACTTATCAGATTTGTACGATTGAAATGATATGTTCTCTTGTTTACGAAGTTGTTCCCGAGAGGAGTTTGAATAAAAATATTTAGATTCTACCTTACACATTCCAGCACGCGCTCTCAAGTCTTGGCTGTTGTTAGTTCCTGATCATGGCCTCTGTGATTTTCTTTTACTTCTTATTTATATATTTTTTAAAATTGAAATCTTTAGTTTAGGCAAGTAATTTCCTTGTTCATAATGACTTTGTCTTTTCAGTCATTCATTTGTAATTTCTAATTATACGACCAACCTATTGACATACCTCAATATTTTGCTTGCCTCTGTAGTTCAATTAAAGAAGCAAAGTTCATGCTCCATTCAGCTGGCCAATATAACCGATTATCATGTCGCTTTCAAGGTCCAAGCAGCTTGCTTCAATCTTCACTCGTTGAGATTCTAATTGTAGACCAGGAATTTCTTTTTATCAAAAACTATTGTGCTCCATAGCTAAACAGATATAATGTCAGCAGGTCAAGACGACAGCACCTAAAAAATATTCAGTGCGACCAAATGTTGGAGTTCTTATGCCAAATTCTGCTTGTAAATTCGTAGGTATACCTATATCATTCATTGGTTGTGTTGTTGTTATTAATTGTTATTCTTTGGTAACATCTAAACAGTGACGAATTAGGTTTTAGTTTTAGATTCAGTTCTGGTTTATATTAGGAAGAGGTATTCGTGGTTCATTGTTTTTGAGTAGGGTTGGGTTGATTTTCGGACAGAACTGGCACATGTTGATTGATGTTTAGGAATTTTTTTTAATTACGTTGCGTGTCTTTTCAATCGTAAATAGGCGTGGGTCAAACTCAACCAAAACTGAGGGTGCGATTTCCCGATGAAAAGTTTCATCTCAAAGTTATTTGGGTATTGATTCTTGTCTTCAGGGCAATCAGGAGTATCAGTTGTCCATTAACTACAATAGGAGATAATTCCACACACTTAATCTTAAATTAATATCATAATATTCCTTCTAATTGCAGAGGTTCTTTCTTTTTACCCCCTCTCTAAGTTTAATCTTCGATACTTTTACTATTTGCATCATACAGTGACAATGCAAGCTCCAAAGGAAGCCCCAGCAGACATGGCGTGCAAGGACAAGTTTTTAATCCAGAGCATAATTGTTCCTGTTGGAACAACCAGTGAAGATATTTCTTCCAGCTTGGTATGTTTAAGTTGAGGTTTTCTGCCCTGAGAGCTTTTATTGTGAACGTCTATATTTATTTACATCTGTAGCTTTTATTTTATATATTTATTTATCTATTTTTGGCATTTGACAGTTTGCCAAGGATAATGACAGACGTGTTGAAGAAAACAAGCTGAAAGTGACCCTGATCAGCCCTATCTCTTCACCAGAACTCTCTCCCATCAATGGAAACTTCAATAGTGGTCTTGCTTATGAAAAGAATCAGATATTTGGCAGAGAGGAAATCGTTTCCCAAGAACCCATGGTTAGAGATAAGTTCATTGACCTGTCTACTTTGTTTAACCCCTTCGTTTTTGTCGCTTTCATTTTAACATTTTAAATTCTTTAGAAACTCATTCATTTTGTTAATTGCGCAAGAGTTTGCCAATAATCATGTGGTTTACTTTTTTAATTCAATCATTTCAATCTGTTGATCTTTTTTTTTGGGTTTATTCGTTCTAGTGGAGTATGTTTTTAGCTTACTCCTTGACAGTGCCATTATTATCATGGGCATGTTAGGTGGTCCAGAATGTTGAGCACGAGATAGTTAATGAGGAATTAAACGATGGAAAAAAAAACGATGTAAAAGACAATGAGTTGAATGCAGAAGAAGATGAAAGGTCAAAGACTATGATGGATGCGGAGGAACTCAAACCAGAAACAGCAGAATTAAAAGTGCCGAAAGATGTGGAGTTCTACAATGTAACGGAGGATGCACAGGAATCGAAGGCAGAAAAAGTGGCCATGCTAAATGTGTCAAAGAGTGCGGAGGAGCTAAAATTAATGGAAGCTATTGAAGAGATAAAGTTTAAACTTGATAAACTTGAGTCAAAGCTGAATGAGGTCAGGCATTCCACGTTTTTATTTGTAAATATTTTATCTACCCCCATGTGCTTTTACGGTATGTCGAAGCACTAGGCGTCCAGCAGTTATAATAAGAATTTGCTTATTATCAATGCCTCATCATTGCATCTTTTTGGCATCTTGTCCTCATCATGGCATTTTCTTTCATAGACTCTGGCATGATTATGGATTTATTATGTTCATTGATCCTAATGTAATTTGATTTCTCCCTCCGTTTCTTCGGAACAGATGGTACACAAGTGGTTGGAGCTCCCGTCCTACCTGTTTCTTACTTTTAAGTTCTGAAATTTGAATGGATGTTTGCAATTCTTAAGTCATATTCAACTGCGTGCTGATACTTGAACTCGATCCGACCCACATCAATGATCAAGTATGTCTTTTTGTAGGCTGGAGCAACGATATCAAAGCTAACGGAGGAGAGCAGGCTAGGCAATCTAGAGACTAAGGCCTTGCAGGAAAAAATAGTAAGCCTAACAATATTGTCTTCCGTTTGGCAAAATTTTTTTCTTAAAAATTAAAAAAAAATAGTGGGAGGTACCCAAGGGAGTTATGTCTTCCAGCCCTAACTGCCGTTATATGTTGCTCTGACGAAAAGGTAGATTGTGTTTTTTGAACTACTGAGAGTTCCTCTCTACTCTGATATGCCTGAACTTGGATAAATTTCTCTATTTCTCCTTTCTTGTTCTTTGTTTTTTGGTGAGAAGAGATGTTGGGAAGGGTTGCCTGTATCCCATCTTTAGCGTAGGAATCCTGTATATTTCATTTACTTATTGTTAAACTCGCTTGTTTTATATGTGCAGGCAGCATTGAGTAAGAGAGGTTCAAGGAAAGTTCAAATCGGATTCCCCCTTCTATACGTCTGTATGGTGGCACTTGTCTCTCTTTTCCTTGGATACCGTTCTCACTCTTGATACTTGCTCAGCATAATGTATATGCAGCTGCTAACGTTTTGATTTAGCTTCGAGTTTGTTGGTAGCAAAAGCTTAGAAATGTTCCAGGTTTACATGAGGCTCAGAAATTGTTATACCCTATTTTGATGTATTCAAGAGGATTTGAGCCTTGTACACTAGGGGAGCGATTGACCGATCTAGTCCAACGTTATCAATGTCATAGTTTGTGTATATGCGAAATTACGCGCATGAAAATATTTGTAAAGGACACATAGATAAATAGCAATCAATCAGGCACATGGTTCCTGCGACTAGAGGAAATTGCTTTGAGCCACGAGATCTGGCAACACACCTTGAGTGGCTTTTTACATTTATTTATTTTCCTTTCACAGATTTACTGACTTAGTTCACGTTTCATCTCGGGACTGAAATCTTCCTACCAATTTCGTTTTTCGTATATTTTTCCAGCAAATGTTTTTTTTAAGTAACTGCTAACTGCCACCCAGTGATTACATAATCATATCTATATTTTCCGACCCCAAAGGCCCAAACAGACTTTCGTATGCCTTTTTACAATGTCAGTGACGAAATAAGGTTTTGTTACGAGAGAGCTCTTTTTCAAAAAAAAAAAAAAAAAACGCATCTGCAAAAGTGAGGTACTAAAGAAACAGTTTGCTTCTGGGACCCAAAAGAGTAAAGAAAGAGAGCATTATAACGAGGTCTCAAAAAAGAAAAATAATCACTAAAAAGTTTCAATAAAATAGCATGTAATGATAAGTTTCAGAGTAAGAAATAACAACTTCTGAAATTTATTTGGTGATTTTTTTCTTTTTTGAAATCTCATTATAATTCTTCCATAAAGAAACGATTAGATTTATTGTGGGGGAGAAGGGAAACAGTCAGCTTATTATTTGTTTAGAAGGATGAAAATGTTAATAATTATTTTACAGAAAACCCACATTTCATTCTTTTTTCTTTTAAAATTATTATATATATTCATATATATAATTAAGAATAAATTACATTGTCGCGTCATTGTAACTTATTATTTATATATTTAAAAAATTTATATCATGTTATAACACAATATACTATAATAAAATTTCGTTGGGAAAAAAAGATTTAAGGCATTCTGGTGATATTTTTTTTGAGTGAGCATTTTGGGGATATTAACTCTGTTCTGGTTTAAAAAATATTTTGGGCCGAAGCAGCCCAGTTGGATGGGGATCTTGGGCCTTTTGTGCTGCAATAGGCATTACGTAGTACGAACGCCAAGCACCATCAATTTTCAAAAGACAATTTCAACCAAAAAAGGGTCAATTTCAACAGGACAAGGAACAAGAAAATTTCCCTTCCCCGGCGCAGGTGAGTTTGGACTTGGATCGGGAGAGGCGAGAGTAGTCGGATTAACTAATCAGGGGCATAGAAAGGAGAGAAAATGGGAAGGGAAGTGTCGGAGAGTTGCGTGGACAGTCTACTGACGGAGATGGTGGCATCCTATTGCAATCGGTTCTACGCCAATAAACCTGAGCTCGCCGCCCGCAGGATCGAGGCCATTGGGTATCAAGTTGGTCACCAGCTCTCTGAAAGGTCTAACCCTATTTTCATTATCTTCTCCTTTCTCTGCTTTTCTTCATTGCGAGCTCATTTTGTTTCTCAATAATATATCCGCTTTCTGTTTCATAGATTCTAGAGGTTCATTTGGATGAACCTGTATTATCTGAGAAAATTTGCAGCAAGCCGGTATTAGTTGTTTTTTAAATACACATTAGTCCCCCAAATTAGATTTGTCTCATGTTGAGTCAGAAGTTCGCAACTGCATCAGTCGTTCATGAAAACGAGGTTAAGAATAGGCACACAACGTTTCTAACTGTTGCCAAGCGTAGTCGAATTAAATTACTCTTATTAAAATTTTGGTATGCGTCGTGTTAGGTTTTTTTGTCAGTGATCGTTCTGTTAATTTCTGTTTCATGGATTCTAATTCTTTTATCGGATCTAGTCTCTTGTGCTATGGGTATTTGGTATACAGTTTCAATTGGATGCAAGGCTTTTGTAGTTGATTTGTATGATTCTAGATTCTTAAAAAGTTCATGTACCTTAACCATAGTTATGGTTTTAAATCTCTCTTTAGAGATAAATCTTGACCGATTCAATACCCTGATCAGGCTTTTCTGCGATTCTTGTCATGGAATTTCTGTTATTACAAGCATCACCAAAACTAAAGGTTACGCGGTGATACAACTATTTTCCTAAAAGGAAAGGAAGAAAGAAAGAAAATCAAAGCTCTAACGTAAAACAAATACAAGGATGATGCAATCATAAATTTCAAATGTGAAAAGCAACTTTCAAAATCATCTTGTGATATTGACTAGTTGGTAGGTTAATTACTTTTGTTGTAATTTATTTAAATTGAGAAAATTGTGTATAGGTATACCATGGAGCGGCCTCGTTTCAGTGATCATCTGGAGGCTATCAAATTCATCTGCAAGGACTTCTGGTCTGAGCTCTTTAAGAAGCAGATTGACAACTTGAAAACTAATCACAGGGTGAGTCGACAGAGCTAAAATCAACGGAGCTATATATATTATGACTGGCAGATTGACAATATGTGGTTTTGCCTCAGGGTACCTTTGTGTTGCAAGATAATAAATTTCGCTGGCTTGCACACATGTCAATTGATCCATCCGTTGATGGAAGTTCAATTGAAGATAATTCTGTGATTTCAGCTGAAAACAAGGCAGCACAAGCAATGAGCATGCATCTTTATTTCCCGTGTGGGATCATTAGAGGAGCTCTCTCAAATTTAGGAATCCCTTGTGCAGTTTCTGCAGATATATCTAACCTTCCAGCATGTATGGATATCCTTCATTATTTTATTTTTCAGTCTCTCACTCCATGCGTGCATCTGTGTGTGTCTCTGAGAGAGAGAGAGAGAGAGAGAATTAGTCAAGAACGACTCTCATTTTGATGAAGTGTCTTCTCTAGATGTTCAATTTATATCCTTTGATCATTATGAGGGGTTTTTATTTTTATAGGTTTTTATATGGCATGTGATGAAATGGATCAAGCCTTGCGTCTTTGTGTTTGTTTGTTTTATTAGATTCCTTCCAAGCTTTCCTATATGCTTTTGCCACTGGATGAATCATTCTTTAACTGTGACTGATTACCCTTAGAATGGTGAAGGTTCAGCTAGATGATATTCAGATTGCATGTTTTGCTTCCAACATTTAGGTGCCTTAATCTGTGTAGTTAAAGGCGATTGGTTGAGGCACCAAAGGGTCATGAGTAGCATTTGCTTTAGCCAAGTGCTTGCCTAGCAGTGCCTTTGGAACTTTTGGCGTCAATTTAGCCGGGCACCTGAGATGCCTAGTGGGATGGCTTGAACAGAAGGGCAATTTAGAAGCCGAGCCCAAGTGTTATAAGACAGTCAAAGGATAAACTAGGAAATTAAAAATCCTAGTGACTTGCTTCATCAGGGGTGCCTTCGTTTTAGTTGTCTGTCTTTAGCCCGACTACCCTGTTTTAAATCAATCCTTTAGACCTTGAACTTGAGTCGCTACCTTAAGGATTCAGCTAGTTTTTGAAATTTGGCATCGTTCATGAATTTCAATTGATAAGATCAATTAATAGCATGATTTGCTTTAATCATCTCGTGTCATTGAGCAGGTTCATTTGTGGTCCGCATAAAAGTTTGAACAGCTTATAGCTATGTTGCTATCCATTTGCACAGCCTGGAAGTATTTACATCTTCTGAAACAATGCTTTGGTATCCTTGAGTTTTCTGGATTGTAGAATATTGATGACTCGTTGAACGGGAAGGGCTTCCAAGGAACCACCGGGGACTCGTTCTTTCCAATGCAGGTTTTGTTCAAGCTCACGGTGATATATTGATTCCTCATGAATTATGTGTCATAATATGAAAGAATGTTGAGTCTCATTATGATGCCAAGTACTCGGATTCTATGGAATTGAGTGCTGTTCTCAATGTGTATCCTTCGGATCTTCTTTGACCGCCAATTTGTTTGAACCTTTCTTCCTTTGAAGTTTTCGAAAGTGAGTTTGTATTTTGTCTTTAGAAGGTAGATTCACCGTGAGGAGATTCGTTGAATGCGCGTGTCAAGTTGCTACTAGGGCATGGGAAGTAAAGGGGAAAATGGCGAGTGACAAGTGACAACAGGTTTATGTTTCGCAAAATGCTACATTATGCGTGTCCTACAGGTAATTTCTGATAATTTTGTCGCTACAGGACAATCGCTAGGGGGGGTATTTTATCCGTGGTTTCGATTAGCATCCAAACTCTAACTATGCATCATGGCTTTGGGTCACCTTTTCAAAAAGTAATTTTACGGGTGAGACAATTATGTGTCCTGATTTACGTGAATTTTTTTTTCCCCAAGTGCTCAAGGTTGTCTGTGCATAAGCACTTAAAAAATATTCTTACAAAAGTCGAGGCAATTCTTCTGACATATTTAAAATAACTTCTAAAAAGCTAATTTAAATATATTTTTCAATGTTTTTCCAAGTACTCCCAACACGTCCTTAAGCGCGAAAAAATTTGGGTCTTTGGATCACAAAAATATTGGGTGAGGTACCCATTGGTGGTGGATATTTGACTACGATCTCCATTGGCGGTGGAGCATGTTGTCAACTGAAAAGCGTACTTTTACTTTATTATTATTTTTATTTCTTTAACTTATATGTAGTCTTTAATTAATTCTTAACTTTGAAAAATATATTAATTTTTTAATTTTAAAATAACAAATAATAATGATATTAAAATCTTAGATGTTAATAAGTTATCTTTGAAACAATTAAATTGTTATATAAATCATAATTCAATTTCAACAATTTTGAGATTAAAAGATTAAAAATATGCCTTTTTAAAGGAACCAAATTGAAGCTGAAAGGTATTCTGTTGCCTATTTTTATTTTTTCAAATGATAATGCGAAGGTGGCAATCTTTCTCTTTAACGCACTAGATTGCCCAGCCACAATTTGTTGAACAAGTAGAGCCGCATTCTACATAAAATAACATATAGAAATGGAAATACAATCTCTGAGGTCGGCACTCGGCAGTTCGATTTGTGGAGCATTACAAGTTTAGCCCACTGCTTTCAGATATCCACCAGTCATCCTTAATAACTCGCCACTACAAGTCAATGGTGTCTGTGTCGGTCCTTCTCCCTTGAAGAGTACGAGGTGCCATAACTGTCGCGATCTGAAATTCAAATATGTTAGCAAACGGATACGTATAACTAAGATGAAGGTCAAACTTACGAGCAGTTTCATACCTCGTGATGAGTGATACTTCGATTTCTCAGAATGTCCTGCATGGAGGAAAAAATCCTTCAACATTAAAAACACTCAACGAGAGATAACCAGCCAAACCTTAAACAAAGACCAAAATCTCAAGTGATTCACAAACGAAATATTTCTCAAGCTGGTCCCTAGTTATCCCAAATAAAACTCTGTTCACGTCCTCTTATCAATCTTTTTTGGTCAAGTTACCACCCACTACTACATAAAATGTGATGAGCAGAGAGTCTTGTTAACGGTACGTTGACAAATGAATGGTGCAGCTAACGATTTTATTTGTTAGACTAAATTAAAAACCAATCACCAAATTGATAATTCCTCCATCCATAAGGTATCACAATGGAATTTCAGTTTGACAAAAATTAAAATCAAAACCATACCTGAATCCTTTGTTCTATCTCTAGAACGGTGACCTCGATCCTTGAGTTTATCCCTATCTGCTTCCTCTCGATCTCTTTCCCTGTCAGAATCCCTTCCCCTTTCCCTGTCAGAATCTCTTCCCGATCACGATCTCGAGCTTTTGTCCTGTCCCGTTCCCTTTCCCTATCTCTGTCTCGTTCCCTTTCCCTTTCCCTTTCCCTGCGTGTCTCTCCAGTGGTCTCTGCTTTACGATCAGATTTGGATTTGAGTGTGGGTTCATCTCTTGCCTCTCCCTCTGTAGCCATGCTCTTCGAATCATCATCAATCTTGGACTCTTTCATCTTATCAATGGCTTGTTTTACCAATGCACCCTTGCTACTGCCAGCTTCATTATTAGATTCTGCTGAAGCTCCCTTTGAAACAGAGGTGTTAGTGTCTGCCGGCGGGCTACTCTGCGGAATGTCCTACAATTAAGCTTGGCATATGTTAGATAAAAAACCTTCAAGCTTGGTATATGTTAGATAAAAAACCTTCAAGTAGAAAAAAGAAAAGCGTTTCCAACAACTCTGTCACATGCTTTTGTCTCATCACAGCCAACTAACGCGGTTCTTGCACCATGAAAAAACATGTTGTAAAGTGAAGTGCGTCATAGTCCAATAGAGCTCAGGGTAAACATTACCTTTGATACAGCCTTAGATTGTGATTCTGATGATTTATTGGAGAATGTAAATGAGTCACCATCCTTGCAGACTGCTAGGTATTGTGCCTTCGGAAGGCTATACAGGTGAGCTAAAACCCTACAGACTTCATCAATCCCAGATTTCTCAGCATCAAATGCCTTCCACCATGGAGGGCTCTCAGGAAGGGGTACTTGGAATCTGCGAGCAGCTGCATATACAACTCCACAAGCCACAACCTCACTCTTAAATCGAACACACAGTGTAGTGCGCAAGCTGCATCATAACAAGTTAAGAGAGGATCAGTATATGACATCATTTTATCTATGAACTCCTCCATGGCATTTTCTCGACCACACTCTCCTTATATCCTTCCCATTCATGATCCTTTGAGATTATAATAGAAATACTCATGGCTCGTCGACTAACTGTTTATGCTTTTCAGTTGGAGCAGTCTTTATCAAGAGGATCCTCAAAGGTGATAAAGTGCAGAGCTCAAGACAATACAGGGAGTGTTTATGGTAAGATGAACAACCATAGTAATACATGCAGTTGCTTACCTGTCATTAGCCAGATTCCAAGCTTCCTGCCTCAATTCTTCGGGAGTTTCGAGAGTTGCAAGGTAATTTGATATAAATTTATGAGGATGTTCGACATGACAAATAAATCCCATTTCTTTCAAAATATGTCTCTCTGTTCTACTCAACTCCATCTTCAAGTCTACATATTTCTGTTAATGGGAAAGAAAAATTTCCAATTAAGTTATTACTTATCAATTAGCAAGAAGAATAAGAATTATATATGCTAGAAACACACATATAAACGCTAACAGAAGAAAAGCTTCTAACCTTGGAATACAAGTCTAAATGCTCTATAGGCAATTTCTCCCTCCTACATTCCATTCTGTGAAAAACAATAATTACTTGTCTCGCCTTTCTGGGACTTTCTTCCAGTTTTGAAGCAAGCCACACACAGCTTGCAGCAACTTTCTGAAAAAAAAAGAAAAGCCTATCAGATCCCATTGAAAAATAGTAAAAAATATCAATGATGAAGACAATAATAGAACATTAGTACACAAAGGATCTAAAAGTTTAAAGAATTAGTTTTAAGGACAAGATTAAAATACCAGAGAAAAACCGGTTAAAATTTTCAGTTTCGATAGTAGCTTGGAATTAAAAAAATAACAAGGGGAAACAGTGTATATATTATTAGATGATGATAATAACCTTCACATTGAACCGCGCAAATGACTTCTTGCAGTAAAAACGATGAAATAGAACCTGCCCAGTGGCCATGACTGCTTGTGGTCTGCCAGAAAACTAAGGAAACAAATTGAATTCTAAACTAAATGAATATTAGACTAGACAGACACCATTGTGAAGAAGATTGAATACCAAAAAAAGGATACAGCCGAAGCAAAATGCCACTTTCTTGGATGAGATCACAACCATAGATTCTAAGGGTTGTTTCAGTGGCTTCATCTATGCCATCTTTCCGAGAAGGTGAATTCTTTAGCTGCTCATCAGTGAGGTAGAATGTGTCAATTGCAGTGTAGATCATGCTTTATACCTGCGTACCTTCAACAAAACCGAAGAAATACACAAAAACCCTAGTTATACTTCCAAAGCACCAATAAATGTATATCATTGATGATTTAACATGATATTGAACTCTTTGCCATAAAATAAAAACATGATGTAAGATTATTAATGAATTATCGCGATGGTATTGAATAGTAAATTGAAAGCAAAGGGGCCACCTAAAGTGGATGGAATCGACGAGAGGCTCGCAATGGTCCACGGAGCCGATGAAAGGGAGACCAACTGTATTACCGACGTAGAAGACGGCTAGGAGCGTCTGTGACGGCGGCGCCGAAGTGTCCTGGGCGACCAGGAACGATGAAGCCTACGATAGAGGAGGTCTTGATGTCGAGAGGGAGGGCAAATTTAGGGAATATTAGTCTGAAAGACCACTACAGAGAGTTATTTAGTCCAGAGTCCTTTGAAAATGACAGATTAAGTACTTTTTAGTTTTTTAATCTTAAATAATATTTTTTATAACAATAATGATTGTTTTAAAATTTAAATTTAATATGTTAATATTTAATATTTTATCAATATTTAAGAACATAATATTATCATTTTTTATTAATAGTTTTAGAGTTAGAAAACAAAAAGTTTACTTTTTAAAGTTAAGAGATCAGAATAAAATCTTGTGTAAAATTAAAAGACTAAAAGTATACTTTAGACTAAAAGGATGAACAAGAAATGAAATGACTCACATACCCTCATCTTCCTTTATTATCTCCGGTGACATGTGCCAACTTGGAAAATTTAGCTAGTAAGGGTTAGCTGTTTCGTTCGTTTGGTTCGACTCTTGAACAAAATAAACCAAATCAAGTCACAATTCAATTACTCCTCTATTTTTTAATATAAAATTTATTAATTCTATTTATAAGACTTATTTTATATGTTTATCAATTTTTTTAAATTAATCCATTGATATTTTTCCAATAATAATCAAATAGGACAAGAAAAAAATTAAAAAAATGCTTAGAGTATTTAAAAAAACATATTATATTAACTAATTTAACTAGCATTTTTAATTGATTTAAATTGACTAATTTAACTAATATGTTTAGGCCTCATATTAACTATAGGAGGAATATCAAGTAATTTAACAAAATTTTGACCTGCTTGGTTTGAGGCCGGATTGTAATTCATGATTTTTTTTTTTGCCTGAATATTTTTATTTCAATTTATTTAAATCATCTCAATTTGTTTGCCCACAATCTAAATCATATTCAAATGGTTGGCCAAAAAATCATACTCAAATGAATATATTTTTATAATCAAATTTCAGCGGTTAATAAATTGAATTATATTCACTCTTCAAAATAAAATTATATATTACTTATTTTATATCCTGTTTAGTTTCAATTTCTCATTTTATTAAATTTATCCCTTTTTGTTTAATTAGTTTAACCGATTAAGTCAATATACTACTATCAGGAAGTTAACATATTTATATAATTGTCTATAGTTGGTAATTTGATTATGGTATTAGGATATTTTAATAAAAAAGCGTAAAATTATTCAAAGGACCCACTTAGTGCCTGTTTGGAGCCACATTTAAGTGGCTTTTAAATAGCTTTTAGGATTAAAAGTACTCTTAATATGTTTGAGTGCGTTTAGAAGAGTTTAAAAAATTAAAAGCTTACACCAAAATCACATACTTAAACCAAAGCTAAAAATTACAACTTGTAGTGTTAGAAAAGTGAAGAGAGGGAAACAAAATGTGAGTCTCATTTTTTTTACTCGAATAAACTCACTTTTACTCAATCATAATCTAAATAACCTTTAACCAATCTCAATTTTATAAATTAACTTTTTTAAACTCCAATCCAAACACAATTTACTTTATCTAATTTAACTTTTACCCACTCTTATTTTTTCTAAAAATCAAATTAAAAATAAGCTACTTTTTCTATTTCCAATCCAAAATAGCCCTTAATCATGTTGAACTATAAAAGTCGTACACGTATCCGGAAGTCACACAACATCCACTCTATGAGCACCCAAATCTAGCGCTCTGTACCATTTTATTTTTCCCCTCTCAGAAGTTGCTTTAGGATTATTGTATCTCACTATCTCTTGTCATTTAGCCTCTCATGCTGCAACTATTTACCGACTCCTGCACGTCTCCGGAATTCCAGTGTTCAGAAAGACAAGTGCGTCAAGGAGCACTCTCAGGTCGGCTTCAATTTGGTTCGTGTAAATGATGGCCTTGAAGAAAGGGGGTATACAACCTCCAGAACATTGTGAATGAATCCTTTATCATAAACATTATTTTGGACAACTTCCACGTCCTCCAATGGCGACCTTCGTAAGAAGGCTCTCCATTTGCTCAGCAAGGGCTTCCTGTCGCTCATCCCACTTATACTAGCTCTTAGGGCTGCAGCACTGGCTTTTGCTTCATTTAGCTTCCTCTGCCAGCTCATGTACTCCTGCCACTTGAAGGTCTGTGATCCACAATAGAAACCAATGAGTTCATTCGAGCTTTCTTAAACTCAGTGGCACAAATAAATGCACGAGGTTTTCCAGACAAACAGATTGCCAGACATTTGACTGATGATAAAATATTGTGGAATATTTGCACACTCACGCAATCACAAAACCAGCACAAACAGTATATATGGCTCCACTTCATTTATTTTCGAATAAAATTCACATGAAACCTGAGTAAATGCAAGTATTGAGTACCATACCCCAGTCAATAGCCAATACTCTATGAAAAGGTCAGAGTATCAAAGCCTCACTATCAGATTTGGCTTGTACTGATAAATAATATAATCTTAAATGTAAAACAAAGACAAGGAAGCAGAAACAAACACAAATAGAAGGAGAACGACCAATGGATCAGCGAAAACTGACAAGACCACCTAGCCACATTCACCATGGTATAGTAGAAGTAGGCTCTAAATCCTCGTCCCATCAGAAAGTTTGCATGAAACCAGTGAACTTCCCAAAAGCATGTTATACAATTCTAGAGGCTTCAAGCTTTAGCCCTACCTAATCAGGTTCATCTTACAAGACATACAACCCCATAGGCTGAAGTGGAATTAATCTGATCATGTCAATTAAAACACACATTCGGGTATTTTTATGACAAAGTTCAAAATTGTTCCAACAGCCTAAATGAGTCTAAACAGCATTATGCATCTTTAGCTCATCTTATGAAAATGATCCAATCCATTCTTTTATAAAGGTATCATTGCACATGGAGAAAGATAGTTGAGAGAAGAGGCAGAGAGGACCTCATTGGTGGTGGTATTGCTGAGGCAAAGCTTTGCATGGTAACCAAAAAATCCAGACAATAGCATTCCAACAATTGCAAGGAACACCGCAAGTAGGATCAGCGTATGGTGCGATCCTAACAACCACTGTGTGAAAGCAAAAGACCACTAGACATTAAAAAAGAGAGTAGGAGGTAAAATAGAAACACATACGTGTAATTTGACACATAAGAGTCAACATGTCAACAATTAGAAAGTGCAAGACGTAAAAACAAATCCCTCACCTGAGCAATATGCGGAGCTAACCCAGAAAAGAATTTTCTATTCCATAGTATACTGCAAAATAAACAAGAGATAAACCTCAATATTAATATAAGAACCAACTTATTCATATGATTGATCTAACATTCAAGACAGCTTCACCTGTAAGAATATATAAAACTCTTAATTCTTTTATTCTTCCAACTAAAACCAATCCAATGGCAACGGTTCCATACAAGCATAGAAGGAAATGCCTACAAGACACCAAAGAATCGCATAAGATAAATAGAACTAGAGATGAAAAATGCATAAACTTTACCGTATATGGTTAAGCTAAAGTCAGCAAAGTAACTAATAGAAGCAGCAGGAGACAGGAAGCATCAAGGAACCTCTTTAAGTCATTTAAGTAACTCAGGCAGCACAAAAGCCTGAGCCAGATTATAGATTGAGGGAACTGAAAGCCCCAGATCGAATTCAAATAAACAAGAATCTGCCAGAGTAGAGGTCTAAGCAGCTTAAAATACAGAAAATAATCAAGAACACAGAAACACATGATAAGAGAAAAAAACACCTTCCTGTAGCCTTTGAGAGGCTAGACTCTAGAGTCTCTCCCACAACACTCAATTTTTTTAACCCCTTGGCCCTCAATGAACCATCACTCACCAATATTTCCCAACTGACACCCCCACCGGGGGGTGTTCATGACCCATGTGACGTAGTTACAATGTTATCTCTCCTTGCCACTCATGCGAACCTCCCAAACTATTATAAGAGCCTTGAGTTGATCAGAGTGATGTAAGAATAAATGTCACTTATTATAACATACAGATGATTCTAATGAACTAAGCATAACACTTACCATAAAAGAAAAGCCATAAAATACCGGGTGTTTCTCTCCCCTATGCAATTATTCTGCAAGCAAAACAACCTTTAGTACAACAAAAACACAATAGAGGATGCTTTACAATGAGAGACATCAGTAATCTTCAAGTGGGAGGATTTCTAGATTACCAACCATCCATCCACAATGATGGTCAAAGCGTGCCACACAGCGGTCACATATGCTGCAGTGCTTAGACCTAGCTGGTCTACATCAAGATTAAGATCCTTTTATAGATATACTTGATCAGAGGCCAGCAAAGATTTTACAACAGAAGGGAAATAACACTCACTTCTGAATTTTACAGGTTGAACATTCTTTCTCAGCATAGATGATGTTATCATAGGGGTATGCAAAGAGATATTGAGAAACATTGTCAGAATTTATTGTTCCTGGATCAGAAAAGCTGGTCAAAAGAAAGAGCAGAATTCCAACAGCAACTGCCAACAAGCTCGTGTACCTAAAAGAACATATAATGTCTAACAAAATTCATGATAGAATGAATAATGCTGAGATAATCATAAGAGTTAAAATAACATTATTGGCTCTTTGATGAAATACCTGTGAATTTCACTTAAATAGTAGCCAGGAATATAGGCAAAGGATGATTTGACAATAAAATAATACGTTATGCCGATTATCCCAAAATATAAAATCTGCAACAAACAGAAATTTGTTAAGATAATTAACATAGTCATGATCACCAAATTAAGAGGCGAAAAAAAGATCAGGGCTTCGAACAAAAAGGAGTGAGGGAAGGAGGGAGTAAAAGAAGCACGGTCAGTCAACTAGCTAACCGAATATTAATGCTATTTCAATACATTTTCCATTAAGAAAAGTGAGAAGACACCAGGGACCTATCACATGCGGGAAGAGTTGGTTACGATGGTACTATGATTGAACTTATTGAATTCGTAACAGTTGCTTTGATAGTATCAACCCTTCCTGCCATTCAATGTTTTATTATTGTGCCATTTCCATGTAAATTCTTCTTGATTTCCATCTCACATAG